CATAATTTAGTTAATTTTCAGCTTTTCACCTGATATCTCAAGTACTAATCATCACATTTCAATGAGACTTGCGACATAGATATTCTAGGACTGTGACAGATTAATTTTGGGATAAATAATTGTGCCTATTAATTACCTAATTTGCATAATTAGTTAATTTTTTGCTGTTCTATGGCTGTTGCACTGATGTTTAAAAGCCACTCATTGGATTTCAATGAAACTTTTAAAGAGTACCCATCACATTTCAATGAACCTAGGACTATACACCATATTAGTTTTTGGTAAATATTTATGCTTCTTAATCACCTAATTTATATAATTAATTAATTAATACTGATATCTCAAGTATTGATCATCACATTTGAATAAAACTTGGTACATAAGTGCTCTAGGACAATAGACAGCCTGATTAATTTTGGGTTAAAATCTGTTCATATTAATTCTCTAATTAGCATAATAATTAATATTATTTTGGTTCTAATCACATTTCAATGAAACTTGGTACATTGTGCATACCTTATTAGTTTTACACTTAAATCTGTTCATATTAGTTACCTAATTTGCATAATTAGTTTTCTGCATTTCCATCAACATCTCAAGTTCAAGTAATTTTGAATTAATTTTTAATGTGTCTCCAATACTCTCAGCACACGGGAGTTCTTTCTAAGCTTTCTTTGATTACTCTTGTTATTCATCCATGTTATGAAATCCCTTTTTGTCCCAGATTGTTGTTGAAGGTAATATTGGAAGTGGGAAAACGACATTCTTGGAATATTTCAACAACATGCCAGGAATACAAGTTGTTGAGGAACCGATTGATAGTTGGCGAAATGTCAAAGGTCACAATGTGTTTGTAAGTATCATAGGTCATATGCATGTTGTCTATAGTTAACACATCCTGGTACTTCTGGGGGTAACCAATCACTATCACTATTTCGCATTTACATAACCCAATAGTGCAATGAGTTTTCATTTGAGTTCAAAAACTGTTAAACACACTATTGGAAATTATCAGTATTTCAGGATAACAATACCCTCAAGAAAGTGCCAGGATGTGTGACCTTTATTTTATCTTTCTTTTAATTTTGGGGAAAGTGAGATGTATATGAGAAAAATGTGTCAAATAAGGGAAAAGCAGAAAGAATTTTGCCATGGTTTTTATAGTTTCACTTTTAAAAAAATATATACCCTATAAATTTCAGTGACATATTAATTCACGTATTACATAAACAAAAAAAGATACATGTGCTATTACTGTTTTCCTGTTGGTATTTACCTAAATCACATGTAATAAACATTACTCATTATTGAACTTTATTGCTTCCTAAAAACATGTATTAAACTATGGCCATGCAAGATTTGAACATAATTTAAAGAATTGTTTGAATTACGATAGCTTGCTGGTACACCTGTTGATGGTGACTTTTAATTACACAGGGTTTAATGTATCAGGATGCAACAAGATGGAGTCTAACATTCCAGACGTATGTACAATTGACGATGGTTCAGATGCGGACGAGGAAACAAACACATCCAACAAGACTAATGGAACGGTCTATTTACAGTGCCAAGTATTGTTTTGTTGAAAACCTGTACAGAAGGTAGCTCTACTTATTTTGAAAACAAATTAATATTTAGATTTGTGATGCTTTGAAGAAACTTTTGAACTATTCTTTCTTTCCTTTGCCAGTGGTAAAATGCCAGATTGTGAGTATGCTGTTTTGACAGAGTGGTTTGATTGGTTGATTTCAAACATAGACCTCAAAATGGACCTAATGGGTGAGTCAATGAAAATAATGAATCATGATCGATGATCATGTGAATTTTATGCTTCTGAGTTTAACACATTTTTGACTCCCATGTGCGAAGCACAAAATTGGAGTTTTTGCAGTTAGTGTGCGTGTGTGTGTGTATGTATGTGTGTGTGTATGTGTATCTAAAAAACCATACATCAGTTTTTGATGAAACTTGGTGCATAGATGCTCTGGGCCAATGTGCAGATTTGATTAGGTTTTGGTAAAATTCCATGCTTATTAATTACCTAATTTGCATGATAATACGCTAATTTTTAGCTGTTCCATGACTGTTCCATTGATATCTAAAGAACCACTTATTGGATTTTGATGAAACTTGGTATATAGATACTCAAGGACTATGCAGAGATTGATTGTTTTGGGATAAATATTTGTGCATATTAATCACCTAATTTGCATAATTAGTTAATTTTCAGCTTTTCCTCATATCTCAAGTACTAATCATAACATTTCAATGAAACTTGGTACATAGATCCTTTAGGACTATCCAGAGACCTGACTAGTTTTAGGGTAAATAATTGTGCATATTAATTACCTAATTTGCATAATTAATTATTTTTCATCTCTCTCAAGTACTAATCACATTTCAATGAAACTTAGTACAAAGATGCTCTAGGACAAACCTGATTAGTTTGGGGTTAAAATCTGTTTATATTAATTCCCTAAGGGACGACGTCAAAAGATCGATGTCGGATAAAAAACTTATTTCCTTTAGTTTGGGGGTGGGGGGTTTTGACCTCAAAAAGTTCCCATCCTACAAAAACGATTTTATTTTTTAATGAAAAAATCTTGGAGTATTTGTAGTTCGTTTTTTTCTATCCAATCATGGACAGAAATAACCGAAAAAGGAAAAAAACAGAAAAATGGTTTGGTTCGAGTGTAAATCTGTGCGTCAAATGAGGTGCATTTGTAAAATCATGTTTACACCCACCCAACGACCAACTGCTATGCAATACTACTGTCCGATTATCAATTTGTATTTACTGGTAATGGTGAATGTAGTCTGACGCCATGATCAATATTTATCAATTAAGTTTCAGTGGGGGGTAGGGGGTTTGGAAAAAAACTAAAGGAATTAAGTTTTTTATCCGACATGGATCTTTTGACGTCGTCCCTAATTGGCATAATAATTCATAATTTGTTTTGGTTCCAATCACATTTCAATAAAACTTGGTACATAGATGGTCTGTTACATTGTGCAGCCCTCATTAGTTTTACACTCAAGTCTGTTCATATGAATTGTCTGATTTGCATTATTAGTTTTCAGCTTTTCCATCACAATCTCAATCAAGTACAAGTAATTTTGAATTATATTTAATGTGTCTCCAATACTCTCGGCACATGGGAGTTCTTTCTAAGCTTTCTTTGATTCAACATAAGAAATATACCTTGTTTTGCTGGAAAGTGCTTGCAAAAATGAACAAAAAATAATAATTGGCTATAATAGATAAATATAATTATTAAATAATAATAAATATCATAGAAGTGAAGTTGTTTCTGTCAACTCAAAATTCGCTACCATATTGCTTTATTAGAGCAACATCTCCAATAAAAATTTACATAAACCAAAAATATTTTAATTTATAAGATGAATGTCAAAGGTGTACTTGTTAAATGTCTTGTAATGACATGTATGAAACATTGAGTTTCACACGTTTGTCTGGGAGGTACTGAGAATTAAAACTTACAGGGACTATGTCATCTCATGGCTATTTTTAGTGTATTTGAGAACCAGTCCTGAAAACTGCCTGAAGAGAATTAAGGAGAGACATCGATCTGAAGAGACTGGCATATCATTACAATATCTTCAGGTGTTGGACAAGCTTCATGATGAATGGCTGATTGAGAACAAATACTTTCCACTGCCATCACCAGTATTAGTGAGTACTAAACACAAGATCTAACATAATGTCATTTGAATGTCTGCGTCAAAAATCAAATTTTAGTTCAATGTCAACACAGGGTTCTCCCCAGGGCTTTTTAGCGCCGAGGTCCGCGGCGCTATACCTGTGAATCTCGGCGCTTCACTTGGGACCTCGGCGCTATGTGTTCCCACCTCGGCGCTTGATTTCATATTTGACATGCCAATATCAGATGTGAAAAAGCTTTGTTCGCCAAGCCGGTCAG